GTAGATACCATAGTCTTCTAGATCACACTAAAATATTACGGCCCTACGACAACTGGTTCAGCTTTAAAAATTCGTCAAAGTTTGCAAAAATTTATATCGTTTTTTCGGCATTTGTCAAAATTGGACCTTTGATCGACGTTTTCTCAAAAACGCCTGGACCGATTTTAGAAATTTAAAAGCCATTTGATGTATTTCGGTGAGGACTATCGTTTTTCAGTGTGACGATCTGCCAAGCCGTTTCTTTGCAATTTGAAAAAAAAGTGTTAAACTTTTCGTCCACATTTAAGCTCATCCTAACGAACCGATTTTAAAAAATCAAAAACTGTTCGAAAGATATTAGTTTGGAATGGCACTGATTAGTTTTAGGTAAAAATCTACCAAGCCGTTTTCTTGTAATTAACTGTTGAAAAAAAAATTTAAACCGATTTTTATGGATTTTTTTAGCGATATATACTATGGTCTTATTAAACTTACTGAAAAATTACGGCCTTACGACAAATAGTTTGATTTTAAAAATTTATCAAAATTTGAGAAAATGAGTAGTTCTTTTGACATTTGTTAAAATTAAAATTAGACTATTTACTTGGTATAATGATAGAGTACTTGGTCTTGAACTTTAAATATAATAATTGATGATTTTTGAAAAGTTGCTTCTTAAAAATGCTCGTGTTAACGTGTTCGTTCGTTTTCAATTATGTGTAATAAATCTACTCATAAATTAATTTATATTTTATTGATTAAGTCGATTATTTACACATATCGGGAAGTTCATGTAACTTTCCTCAAGGCTAAATACCAAACCAACTTGTTTGAAAAGAGATTTATTGAATAAAAATTTATTTCGAAATGTTTTGGAAACTCTGAACTTTTTTTCAAAGCAATCGTACTGCTTTAACTGCATAGAGACAAAATGTCGTCGACAAAAATTTGTATCCGCACACACACACACATACATCCATTTTTTCTGAGGTATGCGAAAATATTCAGAAACCTTTGAAACGTAAAACTATATAAAAAATTTTATTTTCAATTTTTTTGCGATTACTATAACCCGCCCTACGGGAGATTAACAATTACTCAATGTCCTAAATGAGACAGATTGTAATTGAACTAGTTGGTTTGGTATTTAGCCTTGAGGCAAGTTACATGAACTTCCCGAAATGTGTAAATAATCGATTTAATCAAAAAAAAAATGTGTAAATAATATACTTCATTAATCCTACTTAAAAAAAAAACGATAATAATTTTAGCAAACTTTGACGAATTTTTAAAATTAAACTACTTTTCGTTAGGCCGTAATATTACAGTAAGTTCTATAAGACCATGATGTATATCGCCAAAAAAATTTCCATGAAAATCGGCTTAAATTTTTTTTTCAACAGTTAATTACAAGAAAACGGCTCGGTAGATTTTCACCTAAAATTAATCAGTACCATTCCCAACTAATATCTTTCGAACAATTTTTGATTTTTTGAAATCGGTTCGGTAGGATGAGCTTAAATGTCAACGAAAATTTAACACTTTTTTTCAACAGTTAATTACAAGAAAACGGCTCGGTAGATTTTCACCTAAAATTAATCAGTATCATTCCCAACTAATATCTTTCGAACAGTTTTTGATATTTTAAAATCGGTTCGATAGGATGAGCTTAAATGTCGACGAAAATTTAACACTTTTTTTCAACAGTTAATTACAAGAAAACGGCTCGGTAGATTTTCACCTAAAATTAATCAGTACCATTCCCAACTAATATCTTTCGAACAGTTTTTGATATTTTAAAATCGGTTCGGTAGGATGAGCTTAAATGTCGACGAAAATTTAACACTTTTTTTCAACAGTTTATTACAAGAAAACGGCTCGGTAGATTTTCACCTGAATTAATCAGTACCATTCCCAACTAATATCTTTCGAACAGTTTTTAATATTTTAAAATCGGTTCGGTAGGATGAGCTTAAATGTCGACGAAAATTTAACACTTTTTTTCAACAGTTAATTACAAGAAAACAGCTCGGTAGATTTTCACCTAAAATTAATCAGTACCATTCCCAACTAATATCTTTCGAACAGTTTTTGATTTTTTAAAATCGTTCGGTAGGATGAGCTTAAATGTGGACGAAAAGTTTTTTTCAAATTACAAAGAAACGGCTTGGCAGATCGTTGCACAAAACTGACAAACGATAGTCCTCACCGAAGTACATCAAATGGCTTTTAAATTTCCAAAATCGGTTCAGGCGTTTTTGAGAAAACGTCGATCAAAAGTTTAATTTTGACAAATGCCAAAAAGACCATACTGATTTTTGCAAACTTTGACGAATTTTTAAAGCTGAACCAGTTGTCGTAGGGCCGTAATATTTTAGTATGATCTAGAAGACTACGGTATCTATCGTCAAAAAAATAATCATAAAAATCGTCGAAATTGTTTTTTTAAAAACTTTATTACAAGAAAACGGCCCGGCCGATCTCTACCAAAAACTAATCAGCACGATTCCCAACCAATATCTTTCGAACGGTTTTTGAATTTTCAAAATCGATTCAGAATTGCGGGCTAAAACGTAGACGAAAAATTTTTCACTTTTCTGCCATTTATGAAGAAACGGCTTGGCCGATCGTCGCACAAATTTTTGAAATCGGTCCAGCCGTTTTCGAGAAAACGTCGATTTACGGCAAAAAATCTGTTCACATACACACACACACACACACACACACACACACATACTTTTTCCAAATTTGGTCTCATTCGATTCAGAATGGCTTGAAACGTCGAGAAAACATAAAATTAGCGAATCGGGTTTTTTGATGAAAACATAAACTTCTCCTTCGGGAAGTTAAAAATAAATGAAAAAACGCTATTTTTATTGTCTTTACCTTTGCCAGAGTGAATGTTCCGTTGATATTTTTAGCCACCCACATTTTCAGAAGTTATATATAAAAAAAGTTGAACCAAACTTAAAATTAACATTACATCTTATAAAACAATTAAATAACGTATACCTTAAAAATTATATTAAGGTCTCATAAACTAAGCAACAGTGCTCACAGCCAAATACAATAATCCCTAACTTTACTGGTTTTTGAGATATCGGTAGTGGTCTTTTTACTCGTGGACCTTTAAGGCCAGCTCTATCCTACATATATTTCATTAATATAACATGAAAAGCAAAAAGCAATGATATGAAATATTTTGTTATGCTATATAAATTATATGTATATATTATACTTATATATAGTTTGCATACAAAAAAACTTCTGATATATGGACCTATCTATGTTATACTATCTATGTTAAGCCACAATAGCTTATACGCGATTGTGGCTTAACGTAGATAGTGTGGAGTTATGCATACATATTGCATATATTATTATATTATTACAAGCAATATAAAACCATATTTTATTGGATTGTATAATAAAATGCAACAATTCGAAGCTTAAACAAAATAAAAAACAACTTTGATCTTTAATATTTAACTTAAGATACTCCTTGTTGTAAATTTTGTTAATCCCAAATTTTCGTTAAATAGTTTTGGAGATACAACTTCTTCGATTTTTGGAAATAATATCGCAACATCCATCTGTAAACTTATTTTGTCATCAATGCATTAAAACTTAATTTTTTCATAGACGTTGAAATCAGCAATAGAGAATCGTATGTTGATGGAGAATTAATTAGCGGTATATCTGATAATGATGATTTACTTATGATGCTATATATTTATTTTGATGATTTAAATGAATTTTGAGCATAATTTGTATTTTTATATTATGCAATTTGCATCTAAGCTGTAAGTTTTGTCGTTTGTCTGTTTTCAAAAACCGGTTTTAAAACCCGGTTTTTTGGCGAAAATTATGGAATTCGAAAACCGTTTTTTTAATGAAAAAAGTCTGTTTTCACTGTATAAATAAAAAATGACAAATATAGCCAAATATAAAAGATAGATGAAAGCATTTTGATTCTTGAAATCATATCGGTACAATAGCATTTGATATTTTATCAGTCTGTGATGGTTCCCAGAAAGGTTTTGTATATATTAATTTAGATTTTTATACCAATGTATATATTAATTTAAATCAGTTTGTCTTACTTAAACTTAAAAAAGAGTTTTAAACCCTTGAAGCCATAAATTAAATAACAAAACATTTAGAATTATTATATCAGGCTATAAAAACAATTAAGCATAATTTGGTCGCAAGTATGAGAATATTTTCTATTTCAGGAAATTTTGTGAGTAAACAAAGGACACATCTAAGTAGCAATTCGATAGACGTTCTCAGTTTTTTTAAATCATATTTATTAAACAAAAAAACAATTAGAATGTTTAAAATTAATTAATTAAAATTGCTCTGAACATGCAATACCCGAGTTTACCTTAATTGTTTTTAAAACTAAAATTGATATCAACATGCATCTAATATTTTTTATTTTTCTTTTAATTTAATGAATTTTTGTTATTTATTAATGTCTTATTTTCATTTATTCGAAACTTTCCTTTTACTATCATAAAAATATTTTCATTCTTATATGTGAATTCCTATGCATGAATAACTAATAATTATTCTCAAAGTTATTTAATCAAGATAAACTATTATTTTTTAGTTCTACTAATTAAAATGAAAATAATTTTATTTACTATCTATAAAATTGAACAATAAATAAATTCAGTCAAATACTGCTCTAAATTACACTAAATTTGCGGATAAATTACAGAATATTCGAGCAAAAATTTATTTTCTATATAAAATTTGAAAACCGGTTAAAACCGGTTTTTTAGCTAAATTAAAATTCGAAAACCGGTTTTCTTAAATGTCGGTTTTTGTATAAACCCTAGTTTTCACCTAATGCATATTACTCGTCTTCCCGCCATAGCATTTTTGCCATCGTCACATGCTGGAGGTTCCGAGTTCGAATCTCCGGCAAGAATTTGAAAAAATATTAACTAGTAACTAGTATTGTGAATTGTAATAAAAGATATGTATGTAAAATCAAAATGTATAAAAATTGGAGAATTAGAATTAAAAATGAATTGAAGTAAGAAGAATTTAGAAGAAGAAATGAGAAGTATAGAAGAAGAATAAATATGTGGTTAGAAGATGAAATGAGAAGATAGTAAAGAAGAATGAAGATAAGTTAAGAAGTATAGAAGAATAGGATTATATGAAGAAGATAGTATAAAAATTGAAGATTGTATAGGATATATGATTGTATAGAATAATGTAGGTGGCTAAATGCTCGAGTAAGCGAGGCCAATAAAAATAAAATTAAAAAAAAAATAAAAAAAATTGCTGTACCTGCCTTTGCCAAAAACGAATCAACAATTTTATAAAAAATTGAATGTTCTGAACTTGATAATTGTATTATATGTATATATATATATATATATATATATATATATATTCAAGCTTTGCTTAATATTATCTGAAATAATTATGCGCAAAAAATAATCATTATTTTACACGCCAGCCACTTCTCTTATAAATCTTCTGATTGATGGTGCGCCAACTCTCGTATATATCGTAGGTGCATTTGCCTCTGCAGTTCCTGTTCCACATGAAACAATTCCTATTTGTTTATTCTTTGCATTAACCATTGGACCACCACTATCACCGAAGCTCGAATCGATTCCTCCCTTAATGTATCCAGCACAGATCATACTGAAATAATAAATCGTATAAAGTTCCTAAAGTCATTTTGCAATGATTAGATATGGCTTTGAATTTCAAAATCCAATTTCAAATATTTTATAGTTCATTTTCGATTGTATTATAATTCTATCGAATTTTTATTTATATACTAACTTTTGATTTACCCCAGCATACGATTCAGAGTTCATAACTCTGCATTCATTTCTATTTACGATTGGAACTACACCTCCTTGTAAAGTTTGCGAACTACTAATATCACCTTCCTGTTACATAAATTATTTTATTATATTATATGTTATATAATGAAATATTTTACTTATTTCCTTATTATCTTTAATATATATTTATATCGTAAATGTAAACAAACCCCACAGCGCAATGTAAACAAAACCAATGACATGGCATTGTTCTTTGGCAAATTGCTGGCACTTTCCGTACCGTAATTTCAAATTTTATAAGCTTTAAAACTTTGAAACAAAAACAGAATTTTGTGCGATTTTTGAAAACTTTAAAAAAAAACGACTATTTTGAAAAATTGAATTATTTTGAACTATTTGAAATAAAAAAAAAAGATTTTTCAATCAAATACTTTGATAATGAGACTCGACTTTATTGAAAATTGAAACCCCTTGAAGTCGGTTGATCCATAGCATCGAAAATGTCGAGGAAATTTGTTTGAACTATCAAAGTAAACTATAAACATTATAAATTCTGGTGTGGAACGCCAGGAAAATATCTATAAAAAAAGTGAAAATTTTATGTGTATATGTCTAATGATCATTTTTAACTGCTAAATAACATTTTTGAATTGAATGTTTTTTAAGTAATCCAAGCACAAAATCTTGAAGGAAAAATTGTATCCACACACAACACACATATACTTTTTTTTTCTAAGTATGCCAAAATGTTCATGAACTTTGAAACGGGAAGTTGATTATACTAATGATTTGAGAAGAAATTATGAAAGTGTGACTTCATAAATTATTGATGCAACGTCAATAGATACCTAGTACTACTGCTTTATTTTTTTTAACACTGCTTATTTTAGAACGATGTTATTTCATATAAACTTCACTTTCTTTTAATCTGGTCGAAATATTTTGACTTTTATATCGAGAGAATTACAGTTTTTAATAAACAGTAAAAATTATTGTTATTATTAATTATGCTAATTACTTTTCTATTATTCTACTCATTATAAATTATAGGCAAATATTTTACAGCTGAAATTATAAAATAAAGTATATTATTCGAGAATAACTTGTCTTATAATTAACCAATTTTTACTTTTGGAGCAAATGATAATCAGCAGATCTGAAAATAATATTTTGTAGTAAAAAGGGTTTATTATTCTACAAATTAAACTAATCGCTAATAATAACTGCGAGCATTCTGTTTTGTGATCAACAAACTCTAATTTAAAGTGTAATTAAAAAAGATAGTTTAGAGGTTTTTAATAAAAAATATATTGATAGTAAAAGGTAGTGGGTGAGAAAAACCCGATGGTTTATTAAAACTTAACAACTAATAACAACAATATTATGATTAATTTTTTTTCAGATCGGCGCCAGATATGATATTTTGCCTTAAGGAAAATTACATGAACTTCCCAATATGTGTAAATAATAGACTTAATCAATAATAAATAAATAAATTTATGAGTGATTTGAAAGTATTCCCAGTGGATTTATTACACGTTACTAAAAATCGAACACGTGTCTAACACAACTTGGAGTATTTTCGAAAAGCTAATTATCAAAATTCAATAAATTTTTATAATTGAACTATAATGTTTCAGTATGTTTACTACGACCAGGTACTCTATCGCCATAGCAAATAAAACGGTTAATATTAACAAATATCAAAAAAACTATACTTACTTTTTCAAACTTTGATAAATTTTTAGTTTAGTTAAACTATAGTTTAGCATATAGTAGAGCCATAATATTTCTATAATTCATAATATTCATATTCAAAAATAGTTTTGTAGAAATCGATGATTTTTTTCCAACAGTTAATTACAGAAAAACGATACGGTCTATCTTCTAATCAGCACGTTTCCAATCAATATCTTTTGGTCGGTTTTTGAATTTTTAAAATTGATTCAAGATAGTGAGCTATAAACGTGGACAAAAATGCTTACACTTTTTTTGCTAATTACAAATAAACGGCTTGGCCGATCGTCGCGCAAAACTGATAAGTTCCCATCGAGATATATCGAATGGACATTAAAATTTTGAAATCGGTTCAGCCGTTTTCGAGAAATCGTCGAAAAAAAATCAAAAATCTGCTCGCATACATACACACACACAAATACTTATTCCAAATTTTGACTCATTCGATTCAGAATAGCTTTAAACGTCGAGAAAACATAAAATTAGCGAATTGTTTTTTATGAAAATATAAATTTCTTTTTCGCTAAGTTAAAAATATCATTTTGGGTTCAAGTTTATTATCCCAAATTAAATTGTTACCGTTGAAGCACCCCATCCAGTAATAATCGCAAGTGAATAAGGTGCAGGATCTTGACCTTTTTCGACCAACGATACTTTCTGAACGCCATTTGTGAAGGTAATTGGAGAGTGCAGCTTCAGAAGGGCCACATCACTATCAACTGTCACTTGGTTGTAATTTGGATGAATAATAGCCTTTTCTACAATATTAACGAAGCCAAGTTGCCAGTCGTTATTTCCATAATGAATTTTAAGGTGGTCGCCAAGTTCGATATTTTCAAATCTAAAACAAGCAACAAGTGATAAAGGGTGACATGAAAAATCTCAAAATTTGTTAGTTTTTGATACTTACATGTCCATACAATGCGCTGCAGTTAGTATCCAGCTTTTATCGATGATAGAACCACCACAAAAATGACGATCATCATATTGAACTGATACCTGCCAAGGAAATCTTTTTATATCCACTGGCATTCCACCAATGATGCGATTATTTTCTTCTTTAGTAGTGGAACCAACATCTAAAATAATATCGAATTACAAACTGTCTTCTGATTTGCATATGACTCTGAATAAATAATTTTTATCAAAAATAACACTAACTAGTTAAATTCTCTTAGAATATATTGATGATAAAAATACAAAGAAAATATATACATATACAGTGTTGGGTTATCAATTATTTCTTCATAAATTTATCTTCTTGAAATATACATATAGTTATAATTACATATTCAATTATTATTATAAAACTTACTTTGACTTTGCGAGAATTCAGAATGAAGGCATCCGATCAACGCTATTATTATTTGAAGTTTCTTCATCTTAATATTACCTGTCCGGATATACAACCAAATTATTTAGACTTGACTTTATATTCAAATGTATAAACATTATGATATAGAGAAAACTATGAACAAAACAATAAAAGTTTGATACTCTAAAACTAGGCAATATTAATTATACGCCTATTTAAATAACAGTTTTCAATCAACTGCTACACATAATGCTGCACTAAAGCAATTAAAATATGATTTGATACAAAAAAAAAAAATATAGCTCAGTTTATGTTTATGAAAACAATATCTAAATTAATAATTCAAGAATAATATATAATGAAATTGACAAAAATTTTGTAGGATTGTTTTATCAAATTGCTTTAAAATTATTTTTTTATTAGTTTAATTAAGAAGGATATTTTCGAGTATATCATTTTGTTTTGAATTGCAACACTTATAAAAAATATATGTCATAGTGATGTTTTAAAATGTTTTATTGTTGTAACTATCTAATCGCATATTGCGTAATTATATCTAATAATTATAAAACTAGTTTTAATAAAATACATTAACTAGTTGGTATTGGTATTTAGCCTTGAGGCAAGTTACATGAACTTCCCGATATGTGTTAATAATCGACGTAATCAATAATAAACAAATTAAATTATGAGTGATTAGAAGTATTCCGAGAGGATTTATTACACATAATTGAAAACGAACGAACATGTTAACTCGGAGTATTTTCTAAAAGCAAATTTTCACAAATCAATAATTTTTATAATTGAACCAATTTTCGTAGGACGTTAATGGTTTAGTATGTTCATTAAGACGAAGTAATCTATCATTATACCAAGTAAATCATCTAATTTTAATTTTAACAAACGTCAACAAAACTACTCATTTTCTCAAATTTTGATGAATTTTTAAAATTAAATTACTTGTCGTAAGGCCGCAATATTTCAGTAAGTTCTGTAAGACCATAATATACATCGCCAAAGAAAGTTCCATAAAAATTGGATTAATTTTTTTTTCAACAGTTAATTACAAGAAAACGGCGCCGTAGATTTTCACCTAAAACTAATCAGTATTATTTCCAACTAATATCTTTCGAATAGTTTTTGATTTTTTAAAATCGATTCGGTAGAATGAGCTTAAATGTGGACGAAAAGTTTAACACTTCTTTTCAAATTACAAAGAAACGGCTCGGCAAATCGTCTCTTAAAGCTGACAAACTATAGTGTTCTTTGAGATACATCGAATGGCTTTTAAATTTCTGAAATCGGTTCAGGCGTTTTTGAGCAAACGTCGATCAAAGGTCTAATTTTGACAAATGTCAAAAGAACGATACTAATTTTTGCAAACTTTGATGAATTTTTAAAGCTAAACGAGTTGTCGTAGGGCTGTAATATTTTAGTATCTGCCGCCAAAAAAATAACAAGAAAAATAGTCGTTTTTTTTTTTAAAAAAACTTTAATACAAGAAAACGGCCCGGCCTATCTTTACCAAAAACTAATCAGCACGATTCCCAACCAATATCTTTCGAACGGTTTTTGAGTTTTCAAAATCGATTAAGAATTGCGGGCTAAAACGTGGACAAATTTTTTTTCACTTTTCTTCGAGTTACAAAGAAATGGCTCGGCCAATCTTCACACATCGAATGGCTTTTAAATTTTTGAAATCGGTCTAGTCGTTTTTGAGAAAACCATAAACTCTCCTTCGGGAAGTTATAAACAATGAAAATGATAATGATTTGTATCCCATGAAGCATTTTCTTATGCAATGAAAACTATCTGTATACATTACAATTAATATAGTTTGCACACGATGAACTTTTGATATATGGACCTATCTTTGTTACGCTATGAGTTAGCTGATACGCGATTGTGGCTATCTCGTAACCGGATCTTAATTAAGCGCAAACCCTGATCCCGATATCGCGCGGTCCGTTACACTTCCGGGAAGCCACACAGGTCCCGGAAGCCAAGGGAGGACCCGAACATGCGCGCCCGTTAAGGAAACGACCGGAACCTAAGTCTAAGAGAAAGCTCAGACGCGGCCGTGACACGGTACATTACAATCGACGCTAACGCTTATATCGCAGGTAGAGCAAGGGCTCATGACTACTTATTTGACTTTGAACGGAATGAGGTTCATTCAGAGTTAATCATTTGACACTAAACCGAGTAAGAATTTTTTTTTTAACAAAGCGCAATTCATGGTTATGATATCCAATGGTTATCTCATTTAATTTGGGGGCCAATTCTTGAATAAAACTCATGGGGTGTATGGCATCGTGCCTTAAGGCAAATTGCTGGAACATCCCGTACCGTAACGAAATGTTCGAGAAATATTGAATGTTTTCAAATAGATTATTATAAATATTGTAACATTGTCTAATATTTATAAGAATTATATAAAATGAATTGCAAAGTTAAACATACTTGTTTAAAGTACATTAGAACTTTAGTCAGAATTACGATTAAAATCTGAATTATTTTCGATATACAAGAAAAACAAATTTTTTTGAAAAAAAAATTGAAATCAATTTTTTTGAAAAAAAAAATTGAAATCAATTTTTTTTCCAAAATTAATTATTATGTTAAAACAAGCGGAAAGTTTTTTTAAATCATTTAAGTCCGATGCTTAGTTCACTCAGAAATCGCTAATTTTTGCACATTTAGCTACGTATCTCCAAAACGACTGGACCTGCTTTTGCCAAATCATAACAACCATTTCTTCCCATCATTACAAATTGAATATTTTTTTAATCATTCAAATCGGTTAATCCGTTCTCTTAAAAACGGACATTTTTAGCACTTTTTGCTCCATATCTCCAAAGCCACTGATTATTGAAAGCCCTTTTAGTTGATTTTTTTCATTTTGAGCACTGTTATTTAGTTTATGATACCTGAATATAATTTTTATGTATACGTTATTTAATTGTGTTATAAGATGTATTATTATTAACTTCCCGTAGGGTAAGTTATTGTAATGGGCCGAAAATCGGAATTGAAAATTTTTACATTTCTAGACGTTTTTGAAGGTTTCTGAACGTTTTGGCATACCTCAGAAAAAATGGATGTGTGTGTGTGTGTGTGTGTGTGTGTGTGTGTGTGTGTATGTATGTGTGGATACAAATTTCCAGTCACGTTTTAGGGCGCACGGATCAACCGATTTGAATGGTTCAAAAAACATTCGATTCCTATTGATTGGGAAAAGAGCTGATAGTTTTTGGCTAAGGCAGGTCCAGCCGTTTCGGAGATACGGAGCAAAGAGTGCAAAAATAGAAATCGAATTTTGAGCGAACGGAGTATCCGATTTGAATGATCTAAAAAACATTCAATAGTAATGATGGGAGAAGTGTTTATTAGTTTTTGGCAAAGGCAGGCTTAGCCATTTCGAAGATACGGAGCTAAATATGTAAAAAATGGCAGTTTTTGAGAGAACTAAGCGTCCGATTTAAATGATTCAAAGAACTTTCTGCTTGTCTTAACAAAATAATTGATTTTGGAAAAAAAAAATTTGTTCCAATTTTTTTTTTTTTTTTTTTTTTTTTTTTTTTTTTTGTAGTATTTTGTATATCGAAAATATTTCAGATTTTATTTTTAATTCTGACTATAGTTCTAATATACTGTAGAAATAATTTCAACTCTGCAATTCGGTTTATATAATTCTTATAAATATTAGACAATGTTACTATATTTATAATAATCTATTTGAAAACATTCAATATTGCGGGAAGTTCCAGCAATTTGCCTCAAGGCACGATGCCATAATTGCCTCAAGACAGAATTCCACTTACAGCTAGTTTTTAGGTTAGATTCAACAGTTTTTTTTATATAACCTTTGTAAAAGTTTACATGTGTTTGAGGTTAAAATGACCAAAAGAACTTTTGCCCTGGTAAAGGTGTGAACAATAAAAATAGTAAACTAGCTGTAAGTGGAATTCTGTCTTAAGGCAATTAAGGCATCGTGCCTTGAGGCAAATTGCTGGAACTTCCCGTACCAAAAATTATTATTTTTTTAAAAACGATTAACATTTTTGAAAAAATTTTACTTCGAAAAAATAAGATTTTTTAGATATTTTAAATTGGACAAAAAATTACTTTTTTTGAAAATAAAATTTTTGTTAAAAAAAAAATTTTTAAACAATTTTTTTATAAAAATTTTTTTTTGGAAAAAATGTTATCTTCATTTTGATATATTTTGGAAGATCTGAACTTTTTTTCAAAGCATCGTACTGCTTTAACTGCATAGAGACAAAATATAAAGCGCGTAAGCGCCGCGTCGCTGTCTAACAGAAAAACAATGGTACCGAACCCATAGGAATGTAAACAAAACTTATACTTATTGTAAAAATCTCAATAAAATATCTGATAATTTGATATGCATATGTCTAATGTCTAATGATTATTGTTGACCGCCAAATGTTATTTTTTTTTAGTTTTTTTTACTAGATCTCCGAAACCGCTAGTCCTATCTTCATGAAAATTTGATCAAATCTTCATCTTGTTAATAAAAGTAAAAGTTTTTTGAACTATACAAATCGAATGCTCCGTTCTCTTAAAAACTAAGTTACCGTTTTTGGCCCTTTTTGCCCCATATCTTCGGAACGGCTAGAATGTTTTTTGAATTATTCAAATTGCTTTATCCGTGTTCCCGAAATCGTCGACGAAAATTTGTATCCGAACACACACACATGCACGCACACACACACACATACACACACACATACATCAAATTTCTCCAAGGTATGCCAACATATTCAGAAACCTCTGAAACGTGAAGATATATAAAAATTTTCATTTTCGATTTTTTTGCGATTACTTACCCTATGGAAAGTTAATTATAAATAAATCAATTTATGATCTCCAGAACATTAACAATCGTCATTTCATTTCGAATCAAATTCCAAAAAAAAATAGTTGCCAAAGGGTATGGGCGCATTGCCATATAGAATCGGCCCCACCCTGGTATTTAAATAATTTATACGCCATTTTATAGGTCTAAATGATAAAAACCGATATACCAATTTTCAACTTTCTATCTCATCTTATGGCCGAGATATCATTGAAAATATGTGAAAGTGGCCCCTTTTTTCAAACTCACTTTTAGACGTAACCATAAAAGATATCGAAAAAAAATTTACGTGGTTCTATTCATATTGGCTTAGGCCACATTATGTAGAACAATCGATGCCAAATAATCAATTATTATTAGCTGAAAAAGATAAAATAATTTTTCAATTGATGTTTTCCGGTAGTGCGTTTAGTTGGACCACCTTCTAATTAGCTTTATTCGAAAGATTATTGTTTTTTCTTTTAGTACTGAAAATATTGTTCAAATCAATTTGGTGGAACACATTGGAAAATTGAAAAAACCGGAGCTAATACACCCGCGCGTAACGCTAATATACCCTGCAATTGCATAGAGTTCGTTCGAACGCAAAGCTGTGCGCGATGCGCCCGAAACGATTTCTAAGAAATTCTGAACTTTCATTTCTGAATCTGAAATACAATTTCATTTATTTATCACTGTGAGTAATTTAATTAAACTAATAAAAGTATTTTAATTATAATATTAGACATAAAAATTTATTGGTGTTCTTTTAATATTTACAAGTGTATCATATGATTTACACAAATACTTCGGTATGCTAAATAAATAAATAATCAATCAATTAAAATTATATTTTGTTATTTTAATCGTCATCACTGTCGTGGTTAATAGCAACCGAAGTTTCCTCTATTATAAAAATTTTCGATAGTATTTCTGATGGACGTATAATACGTGATAAATACCTCGCAAATGACATATAATATATAATAGCCGCAATATGTGAACAGCAACCAACAGTCCTCAATCCATTGGGACAACTACAGCAATACCTTAAAATACTTCGATAGTTGGTGCCAAGCGGAGTATATTCAATATAAACATTATATTTTTTCCTATTTATATGCCGTGATTGGACATCAATTCTAATTATATTCCTATGTTCTTTTACGTAATATAACTTCGGCTGATTTTGGTCAGACAGCATTTCAGCCAGGTAAGATATTGCTTGTGATAACTGGTATGACCCTGTGAATAATATTTTAAGTTCTCGTTCATTCAAATGTGGAAAATCTAATAACTGATCTGGCTGAAGAAGTTGAAGTGTTGTTGCTCGTCTGGTCCATCGATTTTCAATAACTTCATCATGTAAGGTGTTGGGTATAGTCCGTTCATTCATATAGTTGATCACTTCATCAGCTAAATCTCCATCCGATGATAATCGTTTTCCATACTTATGTAAAAACCCTACAATTTTACATAATGTTCGGACTTTAGGCAATAATTTATTATTTAGTGTGTTGTGTAAAAGCCGATATCTTTGCGCAATATTACCATGTACAGCTTCAATAACCCATCGAAGTTTTGTAATTCTTCTGGATTCGTTCGCCTCTTCTGTTGTGAGTTGTTTTCTTCTACCCCTGCAGCATGGCATAAGAGGCACATATCCTGCTGATTTTATATCTGTTAAAGCATCACGAAAACCGCGATCTACCAATAGAATATCATCAGGTTGCAAAAAAGTTCTGATGCCATGCGCATCTTTTAATATAATTTTCATGATTGTGGCGTCATTTTGTGTTGCCAGGTATGGGCCTAAAAAGTCAACTATGAAACCATTTGTTGTACAAATTGTAAATGGTTTGCATAGTGGTACCCGTTTTTGGCCAGAAAATGACTTTCTTTGATATTCATTGTTTGTGCTCTTTTCGTGTCGTATATATGTACCATCACATATTAATGCCAGTTGCTCATTGGTTAATCCCAGAATTTTTTGTGCGTTGTATGATGTCTCCGATATTAATTGGGTTCTGGTAAAAGACTCTAATCCAAAATTTTGATCCAATATATCTTTTTCGAATCCAATTAAAATTTGTTTATAATAATGAGAGACTTGTCTCTTTGAAATATTAAAAACGCCGGCGATGACTTGATTAGAATTTCCCGTCTTTAATTTGAACAAAAAAATAACTAATGCTTGGAATATGTTTCGATTATTACTATTTTTCATTGATCTAAGCATTTTACTTATTTCTGCAATTACTTCTAGATTAAAACCTGTTAATATTTTTATTTGCTCAGACGATATAGATAAATTATCTATCTGCTTAAATAATGAAACACTTGTATCTGCCAAAGCGTTTAAAAATATTGATATTTCCTTCTGAGGGACGAGACTAGTGTTTGAATAAATACGTAACTGTCGTATATCTTCTTCATAAAAAATTTTTCCAAAAAAATGCTTATTGCATGCACGATTTCCAAGCGGTATATATATTCTGACTTTTACAAATGCGTGAATCCTGGCTTCTAGAGGAATTGTAATTAGGTCGGATTTATTACTGCAAATAGAACAATGTCTATGCGTCGATGCAACTCGATTGAGACAAAGATCCACGGATAAATCAGTTTTCGGAGGTATATTACATTCATATTCACTGCAAGAATCACTAACACATTTGTTTTCAGTACTACTATGCGATAAATCATTAATATTGTCTGTGCTTGCTTCTCCTCTATAAGGAATTAGTCTACAAGTGGAACACAAAACATCACCAATTTTAATTATTTTTCCTATTGAACTACTATACAACTGTTCATCATCCTCGGTTAGAATGATTTTCGTTCTATTACGCATTTTGAATAAATATTTATCACAGTTTTTGCAAGTTTTAGACATTATTAGTTCTACTATGTTAACTAAATCTTAACTAACTAAATCACTAAATCAACTAAATCACTAAATATATTTTATATATATATACACTGAAATTAAATTAAATTAAATTGTCACTATACTAAATAAACCACATAAAAATTGTCACTATACTAAATAAGCCACATAAAAAATACAAACATAAAAATAATGTAATTTTTTAAATGAATTAACTAAAAAGTTTTATGTTATGAAAATGATTATTAGAATACTTTCAGTATTAATTTTTGTAAATTCCTGAAGTACTATATAGAAAGTTTCCGCATCAAATGGCGAATAATTTTTGAAAAATTTTAAATAACAAAAAGCAAAGAATTTCAGATTACCATTTGTCATATTTCTTTTTGTATTGTAGTATTGAGTAGTACTGATAAAGATAGGCCACAATAAGGGCTTTATAATTACAATGTTGCAATTATCATTCAAAAAAAGAAATGTTTCTTGGGTTTGTTGAAATTACAATGTTTCATTATATCATTATTTCATATGAATACATATAACTATATAATAAATATTGTCACATTCAGAATTTCTTAGAAATCGTTTCGGGCGCATCGCGCACAGCTTTGCGTTCGAACGAACTCTATGCAATTGCAGGGTATATTAGCGTTACGCGCGGGTGTATTAGCTCCGGTTTTTTCAATTTTCCAATGTGTTCCACCAAATTGATTTGAACAATATTTTCAGTACTAAAAGAAAAAACAATAATCTTTCGAATAAAGCTAATTAGAAGGTGGTCCAACTAAACGCACTACCGGAAAACATCAATTGAAAAATTATTTTATCTTTTTCAGCTAATAATAATTGATTATTTGGCATCGATTGTTCTACATAATGTGGCCTAAGCCAATATGAATAGAACCACGTAAATTTTTTTTCGATATCTTTTATGGTTACGTCTAAAAGTGAGTTTGAAAAAAGGGGCCACTTTCACATATTTTCAATGATATCTCGGCCATAAGATGAGATAGAAAGTTGAAAATTGGTATATCGGTTTTTATCATTTAGACCTATAAAATGGCGTATAAATTATTTAAATACCAGGGTGGGGCCGATTCTATATGGCAATGCGCCCATACCCTTTACACAAAATTGAAAAATGCTCCCGCATAGTCACAGTCTGAAAGCATTTGCAATAATTCTGGCGACTTTCACTTATACTGTGCTCAGTTTGGCGGCATTTTCACATTTTTCAATAATTTTCACAAAATTGGAAAAGTGCTCCAGTACACAAACAGTCTAAACGCACTTGCGTAAACATTTCTACCAGAGTGGCGCTTAGACGTGCTTAGCTTGGGTGATTTTTTGAGTTTTTAGCCAAAATTACAAAAAAATTTTTTGAAAAAAAAATTAGAAACAAAAAATTTTTTTTCCAAAATCAATTGTTTTGTTTGAAAAAAAGCAGAAAGTTCTTTGAATCATTTAAATCGGACGCTTAGTTCTCTCAAAAACAGCCATTTTTTTTAAATTTAGCTCTGTAACTCCAAAACCTCTGGGCCTACCTTTGCCAAAAAAACTAATCAGCCACATCTCCCTATCAATAGGAATCGAATGTTTTTTAAACCATTCAAATCGGTTGATCCGTTCTCTCAAAATTCGCTTTCTATTTTTTGCACTCTTTGCTCCATATCTCCGTAACGGCTGGACCTGCCTTTGCCAAAAAACTAATCAGCACATCTCCTATCAATAGGAATCGAATGTTTTTTAAACCATTCAAATCGGTTGATCCGTGCGCCAGCCGAAAACGTGGACGAAAAAAAAACGCGGGACATACAAAAACACACACACACACACACCACACACACCACACACATCCATTTTTTCTGAGGTATGCCAAAATGTTCAGAAACCTTCAAAACGTCGAGAAATGTTAAAATTTTTGATTTCGATTTTTGGACGATTACTATAACTACCCTACGGGAAGTTAATTACAAAAAGTTAATTAAGTTGAAAAAAGCAATTTAAAGAAGATAAGTTCAATACATAGTTATTCCAACTTTGCTGATGATGTTTTTGACAAAATACCAGATCAAGTTTGTATAAAATGTGATCTTTGCAAAAAATATACCCATGAAATTTATATTTTGTCTGTTTTTGTCAAAAACTAACCAGGATGTTCCCTCGTCAATAGCAATCGAATGTTTTTTTTTTTAACCATTCAAGTTGGTCAATTCGTACGCCCGAAATCGTCGACGAAAAATTGTCTCCACACGTACACATACATCCATTTGTTTCAGAAACTTCTGAAACGTTAAGATAAGCAAAATTTTTATTTTAGATTTTTGGCTCATTACTATAACTTATACTACGGGAAGTTAATAAAGCTCAGTTAATGGTCATTATGGTTATAGAAGGCCTCAATTATTTTAGGAGGCAATTCTTGGATAAAATAGATATGTTATGGTAATAAAAAAATATTTACATATAATGTATATATTTATATTCAAGTTAATTATTAACTTCTCGAAGAATAAGTTAATTTTTGCAAATTAAAAACGATTTACTAATTTTCTAAGTCTCAAGTCATTATGAATCATATGAGACTAAATTTGGTAAAAATATGTGTGTGTGTTAGATCGGGACGACCAGCCGACCCTTTTCTTTGTAATTAGCAGTAAATTAGCAGTGACTGACAATTTGGTTGAAATTTTGCATAACGATGAAGTTTTAAAGGCCTATGATAAACGGTTGAATTATATGAGTTCACTATAGTTTGAAGTTTTTTCTCGTGCTTAAGCGAATCTAATAAAATCCTATGCCGAAGCAAATGTATGTTTTATGGTGTTTGGTAGGTAGCTACTGGTTACAGTTGACGTCCACACTTAAATAAAGTACATTTTTATTAAAAGTTAAAATGGATAATAAAAATATGCTTAACAAATTAATTTTTTTATATAATAACATATATAAAGTATGTTTTAAAGATATCAATTGAAAATTGTTTTTTGATAAAAGCGAAATCTTTATTTTCAAAATAGTCGAATATTTTATCTAAATAGCTAATACTAATTTTTATTGATTGCGTCGATTATTTATACATATCGGGAAGTTAGCTTCTTACAACTAGATTTAGTTTTTTTAATTGTATAAATTTAAAATTTTATATTTTAACTGTAAGTAAGAGTTAATATTTTCAATGTCTAACCGATGCTACTATTACCAGTTAAAATTTTCCATAGAAAATATGAGAGAAAGATTACTTGAGAAAAATTGTCGTGTTCTTGGAAGAAAACGTGCAAAAGTATATTTCTAAGCTCTTTATTTACGTGCGCTTAGAGAACGATATTGCGTAGAGAAATAACATTCACCAAAAGTTCTGTAATTCCAGCACAATAATGTCACGGATGTGCTCGAAATATTGTAACTCTGATTTATTGCACAAGTTAGCATGCACAGAATATTCACCATATATAGCACACTGAAACACTTCTCGAATTAGGATAGTCCTTATGACTTTTGATAAAATCAAGATTTTTGATGTATGCCAACTTTTAATGCTATACAGTAATTAGTGTGCGAAAATAATGTATAAAGTAGAAAAAATATGTTAATAAGATACAGTGGGGTCGGCAATACCGTATAATTGGGACCGATTCTGCCGCATGACAGAAAAATGTTATGACAAGGCCATGTTATGAAGAACTTTCCATACTAACATAAGTATTGACAAAGGCAAAGTAGTTGGTGTGCAGTCAGGCGTATTTCTCAGGTTGTCAGATAGAAAAACCTAACCTAGAAACCGCACACATGTCGAAAACGATCTTATATAGCAAGGTGTGTCTGATACAGCTTCATAACATACGAGTGACGTTGCAGTTTATGTACAAACGCCTGAATGCACAGCAAATACATAATATTTTGACAGTATTCAGTATGATTCAGTAGCATAAAGTTTGGAAGTTGGAGCGTAACATGACCTTGCCATAACATTTTTCTGTTATGCGGCAGAATCGATCACAAAGGCTAATGTTATGGGATGGCAAGGCTATGTTACGTAGCGTTTTGTATATAAATTGGTACTAAAAACTATTAAAATGCTGTATCTTTGTGTGCAGCCTTGTCAAAACATTGATCTATTTTACGGCTGAATCGGCCCATAAATCTTTGCAAATTTTAAACACCTATTGATATAAGCATATTTAGATTAGTTTAGAGTATTTCCTAAATTCTTTAGCAAAAGAATTCCCATCATTTTGAACTGATAGAAAAATCTATTATTTAGTGTCACTAGATTATTAGAGCATTTTTTGAATAAAATACTTAAGAGTTACTTGAGAAGTTAAAGTCGTTTCCTTGTACCATGAAAGTGATCATTGAAAATATTAGCACGGAATAAGCACGCTTTTCGAAAAAAACTTCATACTCTGTACGAATGCATTGGTTATATAACCATGTAGAGAAATTGTATATTCTTTGATCCAGCATTTTATTAAGATATTCCAAAATGGTGAAAAACTTTTGAAACATGATAATAAAAAAAATCGTTTTAGATTTTTTGAGAGTTATACAACTTACCTTTTGGAAGTCCTTTAATAAAAAGGCTATAAAAATCATAAAAATCTCAGTCACATGATTGCACATAATAGAAAAATATAGTTTCAAATATTAATTTACTTTTTTCTGTCTAAATATAGAATCAAGTTGAGTATATGCTTCAAATACCGTGTTTACAATTTATTGCGCAACTTTGCATATGAATGCCATTCTGCAGATATTGCCTCGCGAAATTGTCACCGTAACGTACGTCTCGAGTTTTATTGTGGAATAGTTTTATTTCTCTATTTGACAGTATATATTACAACAATGGGTTTCAATAGAGTCGAAGTCGAAGCAACAGATGCGCAAAAGCTATTGCTTTTCCGTTCTTTATTATGGAATGGTTCTAGGAAATTATTAATTTCACCATCTATCTATCGTGGCAT